TTTATCTTAAAGCAGCGTCTCTTAAAGCAACACTTTGTGCCCTGGCCTGCCTTGTGAGATGAGCGGGACTCAGGGGCTTCGGGGTCCTGTTTCCCCAGCGGCAAGGACTGGTTCTGCCTGGTGCCATGCCTCAGAGAGACATCTCACTTGGCAGGTACAGGCAGAACTGCAGACAGCAGAGAGAGAGATTTTGCAATAAGTATTGCGTGAGGACTGCCTTAAGCATTTTTTTAGTGTTTGGTCTATGTTCCGAGGATAAAGCCAAGGAATTTTACTACATCAACTTTGTCCCTATTTTAGGGGGCATTGTAGGGAGGTCTTAGTTTGGTGCTTTGCAGGTATTCCAGCATGTTGTTGTGGAAGTGGTAAAACACAAGGTAAGCTTTCCTTAAGAAAGTTAAAGATAGGTGCCTGTTGAACCACTTCACCTCTTTTTATCATTGATCTGCATTTTGATCTGTTTCTAACCTTTCCTTTCTTGATATGGTTATTAGTAAGGTTGTCATGGGATGACCCTAATGACATAGTATTCTTGACTTTTTTACCACTTTCCTGGACTGAGCGTGACCCACAGAATCTAGTGTTTGTTAGGGGACAAGCAGCTCCTAGAGGTGACCAAAGAGATTCTTTGATATGTCAGCGGCTTTTGAACCATGTGATCAAGAAACATTATTGACCTGTTCGTGAGTCTAGCTATAGCTATGGTTTAAATAGCTCTTCTGGCAATCTGAAAGGGGAAGTTGGTGAGAGTCACTGGGTATGATGCTGGCTTGTTTTTGACTCACCACCCCTTTCCAAAGCCTACATTTTGGGGGAGAGCTGATGTGGGCTGTGTAGCTATGCCTACACAGATCACTCATGGATCTGCATCTATACTTAAGTAGGTCTGCACGTCATTTCTCTGAAATGGACCTTGTCACAGTCACACCTGCCCATCAGGCATTTGATTTGGATTGCAATTTCTCAGAAACCGCAGCCGGTTCAGTCTCAGGCCATGACTCAGCAGCACTAGTTATGAGGAATGTGGTCTCTGCAGCCTTCGCTGCTTCCAAATTGATTTCAGGTGCACGTCACACTCTGTCAGCTACACAAAATTTTCCCTGATTTTTTTTTTTCATTTCTGGCTGCTAAGCACTACCAGACCATGACCAAGAGGATAAGTGGAATTCTGTTAATCACTGATGTGTACTTGGATTACCATTCCCAAAACAGAGGTGGGTAGAGGAGGATCTGTTCCTGACTCACCAGCTTCTTTGGGGAAAAGTTAGTATCTCATCTTAAACTGTCGCTGAAGATGGGTTCATGCTGGACGTTGTATGGAAGGAACTGAGGTGCAGGCATATGTTCCCTTCTGCTGACTTGGCTGTGGTGACGCTAACCACAGCCAGCAAAGAAGAGCGAGCAACTGGGAACAGTAACATCTCAAACTGCAGCAGAAAGATTGGCCAGACCTCTCCTGTCAGCACTTGGATTCCCTTGGTGTTCATTGAGGAATTAAAAGTTAACTGAGGGTGGTGGCAAAAAATAGATTTGCCTGCCTAGAAAATGCTAAAGCCAATATACTAAAAAGCAGAGGTGGATCTGAAGGCAGTTATCTCTCTTGGAATTTATATGGGGATTAACACACACATCAGCCTTGTAGCACACAGGCAATTTTATAATCAGTGCTGGTATTTCACCTTAGGGTACTCCATGGGGTGAAGAATTAATTTCCCACCATTTTCTAAGGAATCAAGGGCTGGGATTTATTGTCACTCATAAAGAAGAGTTTGCGGCCAAACTGGATGCTTTGTGGACCCCAGTAGTGATTGAATGGTCTGGGATGTGTGAGAGCGTACCACCATACCTCCTGAAATGGAACTGTGGAAGCATGCACGCAGTGAAATGCCTTAAGATGTTACATGGCCATTTGGCTTCCATGTCAACAGAAAAATATATTACAAGGTTGTTCAAAACATAGACAAACTGCAGTGCAAAGCAGTGGCTGCAAGATTAAAATACAGGTTGTTTTATTACATGCAATGTGGTCCCTCCTTTCCCCCCTCTAGTTGTTTCAGAAAGGAATCTCTTTCTTAATTAAAAAAACCCCACCAAAACAGTCTTCAATAAGAGATAACATAGACATTTTTGTAGGGGGTTAAAGTGGCATCTTTGCACATCATCACCCCCCACCCAGCAAACCTGTCAGCAGATGAAAGATATAAATAGGGATATTTAGGGAGAAAGTTTTTTACATATTTAAGTTCCTTTGAAATGTGCTTGGCTAAAGGAATATTTTGAAGAGAGGGAGTGGAAAAACAAATGGAAAATATTTTCTTTGAAAGGAAAAAAAAGCAGCAAAACTGTCCTTCCTAAACAGAGACACTTGGCTGGTGTGTACTTTACGCAGCCCTGGGTCAGACCTTGAAAACAACTGCTAAATTAGGTCCAGCTACTTTGATGCTAAAAGCATGGATGTGCCAATAATTAAGTTGCATTAGATGTAGGAAATGACTGATGCGTCTGCCATGCTCACGATAGCAGAGTTCACTGTGCTGCCATTTGACCGACCCCTTTTTCTTTATGTAAGCAAAAGGAATTTTCTTCTAAGGAAAATCAGCTGGTTTTGCACCTTTGTTTTGTTTTCTGAACTGCAAATCCCCTGAAGGTATAGAAGCTATTTGAAAGAGCAAATCAAAGCTCCCATAATTTAGTGTTATATTATTTGTTGATGTATGGTTTGATTTAGTGGCTACTTATTATATCAGGTTACCATATAATTATCTTAATTATTGACTCCAGAAGTAAGTAGAGGGATTATGAGAGAGACAGGAAGGCCCAGTGGAAAGAGCATGGCTCAGAGAATCGAATACATCACAGTGTGCTCTTGGCTCCACCACTCATTTAGTCTGAGCTGAACCCTTCCCTCAGCTATCCCGGCCATGAAATCAGGAGGGATTGCAGAGACAGGACTTGGATGCTGACCTGAGATTCAAAGAGATGCAGGAGAACAATATGAAAAGGATAGAGGAAAGGTCTGAAGGAGAGGTGTAAAATTAGTTTAATAAAAATGAATACAGACCACAGTACGTGTTTGTGTCAGCGTGGAACACCTATGTGGTCATGGAGAAGGGTAGTTTTGCCACGATGGCCTGAAATTGGAGTCTGATCATAGTTCATTTCCAGCCTCTGCTATTGATTTCCCGTGCGAAATCACGTAACCCTCGAATCCCTTTCTGCAAAACAAGGGTGCTAAAAATCATCCTCCCGTCTTTGGTTTTAGTTATTCAAATTATACAGCTCTTTGCACAGCCTTCAGCCATGGTTCTCATGACATTGCTGCCATTTGTGTCTTTGAGTCTCCTTTGTCTGATAACCATCGAGCAAAGCCAAACATTTGCGTTAGTAGGCACTGCTGCAATATAAAAACAACACTGAAAGGCAGTCAGTGCAGTCTCTACTTCCTGTATTGATAATATTTGACATATACTGACAAAATACTTCATCTATTGACAAGCTGAGTTGCATCTTTTTCCCTAAGAGAGGAGCAGACACGCTGGTTTTCCTCAGCCTGTACAAATTACTTTCTCTGCTTTTGCTTTTCTTGCTTGAGTCAAAAAATGGAGATAATAGAATGTATCTGTTTCCTTCCCAGAAAAGATCAGTTAATGTGAAATGGTGCATAGTGGCTTAGTGCTGAATAAGTGGGATACCCTAATCCAGCAAGGTATCCTCGTTCTATTGTGTGCCTTTTCTGCATACCATCTGGAGTTGTTCTCTGCTTAGTATTTTCAGTATGTACCATATGTTTTTGCATGAAAATTCAATAAAATATGCATTATACATGAAAAGTGCTGTAGTAAATAAAGGAGGGATGGAATCCAGTCCCCTTTGTGAACGGCAGGGGCCCCAAATCTTCATAAAAGGTTTAGTCTAGTCTGACGTCTGTGCTTTTCTCCAATTTACTCCGTGTCAGTCTTTAGGAGATGCTCTAATTTAAAACAAAACTCTGCTTTCCTGATGAGGTTATTAGATGTACTTTGGCTGCCCTCTGCTGAGAGCACTGAATAAGACAGGGAAAATGTCCTTTTTTCCGAGGAAGGTAACAGTGGAAGAAATTGTCCGTTTGTCTGTGCCCTGAGTCGTGTCACTGCTGCTGGTGGCCATCCGTGGTTTGGTGTCTCTCTCTGTTTGCTGCTTGTCAGAGGGCAAAGTCTGCTGAGCTACAGTCCTGTTTGGGTTTTAACACCCATCATTTGTTGTCAAGGGGCAGGTGTTTTGTAGATTAATGGAAATGTGGGCTCGAGTATTACCCACTATGCAAAATAAAGCAGGGTTGCACAAGGGATGGCCACAGGAGGAAACGGGCTTGTCTCCCCAGGCACTATTGCAATCCTGATCCTGCCAGGTGGGATTTGGGCTGTACCTCAGCCCCTTCTGCTCAACAGAGCAATTCTCAGCTGCGTGACGTTCCTCATCAGGGTGCTGGTTTCTGCCAGTGCTGTCTCCCACCCCTCCACAGACTTCACAGCACTAGGACTTTGCTTTATTTCTATAACTGGGGAAGGGCAAAGGGTTTGCTCCAACATGAATAACTGAAGGACTTGCTGTTTCTTGTGAACATGGTGCTGCTGGTCTGCCACACTCTGTTCTTTGCGAGGAAACAGAGGTCCTGTGCAGATTTTAGTCCATGTATAAAAACAATAGCTCTGTTGTAGCTATTAATGTGCTCTGTAATGCCCTGTTTTTAATACGTCCTAGCAAGTTGATTTATTATTGTATCTTAAGCTGGGCTGTGGACCAAAGTGTTTTGATGATGAGAGGAATGTTATACACACATTTAATTACTGCCCACATTTTTGTATAATTTTATCATTTACTGTTTTAGATGAGACATCGAGTTCTTCTACAGGAAAAAAAAAAAGCCCAGTAAAAAATAGATGATTTAAAAGCCAATCTGAGATGAGTTTGGCACTTAAATGTGAGAAAATGTAATTGTTCCTTTCTTTCTGCCTTTTCAGATGGTTCCTGATTACCAAAATGTACAAGAACTCCCTTATCTGGACATGGTGATTGCAGAGACGTTGCGCATGTACCCACCTGCATTCAGGTATTTTTTTTTTTTCCCCTTCTGATTCCACAGGGTATATCCCTAACTCTATAAAATGGAATTCTGCTGTTGGAAGACCAATGTGCCCTTGGTCTCTGTGCCAGCATCAATACTGCTTGTGCATTTGAAAGATATTATGTGGCCTTTTGAAGGAAACCTGGAACTGGCTAATACTGCTATTTCTAAAGCAGTTTTTTACAACAGATTGGCCAAGATTGCTTCTTCATCATTCCTCACGTCCTCCAAGGTTAGAGGATGGAGTTATTTTGCAGCAGGACTGGCCTTTTGAAGCCAGATGCTGTTGCTTCTCTATGCCTTGGGCTTTGGAGACACAGGGCAAAGACCTACCCTAGCCTGATAGCTAGTGGAGGAGTTACCCTGCTGGGCATCAAGGCCCTGATCTGTGGAAGGGTTGCACATTCAGAAAGCTGTATTTTACATGTGTGTTTAACTTGAACCCCTACTGTTTTGCACTTAGTACTATGTTATACTGATATAGCTAAGCTAATGGCTACAGCCATTAAATTTTTAAATTTTGGCCCCAATTCACTCAAGACTAATTTTACTAAGTTACATCAATTAACTGAAAACAAGGGGAAAAGAAATTAGAAATCTGTGTGATTGTCAAATTTGCAGGTTTTTACAAGCATAAATGCAAATGTTAAGAATGGAACTTTTCAAAGTGGTCAGCCTGTTGCACTGCTTCTTGTGAAGCCAGGTGAAACATTTAGATGATTGGAAAGGAGCCAAAGCTGAGCTTGCTGTGAGAGCCTTTTTACCCCACAACTGCAAGCACCTTAAAATAAAATCAAAAAGAGCTTAAAATCATATTCTCTTTTATATGTTCACAAAGATTGGAAGTCAAGATTTTTCCATGGACTTCTGCAGAATTGTTCAGAGAGTAAATGTCAAAGATACTTGCTCCTGGATCAGCTGACTGGGCTTTACTATGTTTTACATGGTATACAAGCAGAAATTGTTCTGCCGGTTAAAGCATCGGGGATCTTTGAGTTTCAGCTGAAACACTGGGAAACGATCAATGTTTGTCAGATGGGAAACAGAATGAGAATGGAGCAAAGTTGTTCCCAAGTTTTGGTTGGCATTGTCAGTGGTATTTATTGATCTGGCTTTTACTCTGATGGATGTAGAATGGATAGGACAGCCCGGTGCCTCGGAAAGATGCTAATTGCCTATGACAAGGATCATTCTGAGTTAGGGGAAAATTCAGTAGCAGCCAAGCTTGTTATAAAATGAGTTGTTTCTTTAGAAAAATGAACTTACTAGAAGGAGAACTTTCTTTCCCAGAACTCATTTCCACTATCACCAAATTCATGTAAGGATAAGAAGGATGCCTTGTCAATATGTTTTTTAGGATGCCAGTGTTTTGTTCCAGGTTTGGAGCCTCGGTTATTTATTTGTCTGTGAGAGAGAGATGGGTGACAGCAAGGAAAGAATGTGTTCCTGTAATGATACCAGACTGACAGCCCTGACATGGAAATCTTTGTTCAACATTTTAGGCACAGGGCAGGGAGCAGCAAAAGGAGCTCCTGCACGTTGTTTTGCCCCTGTGCTCCCAGCTGGTTCCTGGGGAATAGCTCCTGGGCTGAGATATCTGGGCACCTGCCTGGGCCTGGGCTGGTAATGGGGTCTGCAGCGACCACCCAAGCACCGAAAGATCTAGATCAGGATTTGCCACCACACATGCACGCCCACACACCAATTTTTTACAAGGTTTACAGACCAAAGCTCGACTTTGGCAGTTGGCTTTTCTCAGTCTTCTTGTCATGATGAGGTTTCTAAGGACAGTATTACTTTGTCACCTGTCACCACAAGGTGGGAGGAATCTGGGAAGTTTTGCTGCTAACGTCTTGTCTATCTTTGATGAGTGTATGTGAAATGCAATTTTCCAAGGCTTGTGAACTGGTTGTATTTTTGTAGCAGCAGCAGAACATTCAGCCCTATTATTAAAACCATCCCTTGATAAGTTTCAGGTGCTGTCCCAATGTGGGGGACCTTCTCAAGTAAACAAGCTCAAAACTACATTTGATGTCATTTTTTCCTGAAAGCAAACCAGCATACTCTTTCTGCCTGTTATTAGAGATGACTGGCACATTTCATCTGCAATTTTGATAAGAAATTAGTCTAAAATCAACATTATCAGCAAAATTGCATTTTAACAGTTAACATTTTGGAAAACTATAAGCAACCAGAAATGTTTTACTGTGAAAAGGACAAAAGTTAGTCAGCCGGTTTGGAGCTGTGTGCTTCTAGGTGGAGATGATTGTAACCTGAGAGGACACAAGCATCATCAATGGTCGCTGTATTTATCTACTGGAAAAGTGTTACTCCTAAGTTGCGGGGTCAGCCCAGCTGAAGAGATTGACCTTTATGGTTCCCTCCTGCTGTGTTTTTACCTTTATTAATCATATGGGACACATGACACTTACTGTTGCAGGTTCACTCGGGAAGCAGCTAAAGACTGCGTAGTGCTGGGGCAGCATATTCCAGCCGGGGCTGTCATCGAAACCGCAGTTGGACATCTCCACCACAACCCTGAATTCTGGCCAGAGCCTGAGAAGTTCATTCCCGAGAGGTATGTGGAGTAATGCTTTCCATTCTTAGGTTGAAGCCTGTTTAGATCAAAGCCCTGCCTTAAATGCTGGTTCATGCATTAGGGATGGGCAAAGGACCCGAGCCCATCCTGTGGAGATCCTGCTGTTCCTCCACAGCCATCATCACTTGCTATTCACCTGAGGCAGTATTTCTGCCAAGAGGAGCACAGTACAATTTAGATCATAAAAATATATTACTTCTACCAAATTAGACGAGTGGTAAAAGTGGCAGATCCCACAGAAGGTGTAAGGTTTGATCAAGGTTGAAATGTGGTGTGGGTTTTCAGACCTGTTCCCAAATCAGATGCTACGAATAGTGTCACCTCTGGATGCAGAAATTCTAAAGTGAGATGGTATATATATACGCAGCGTGGGGGTAGCCAGGAAATTCACCCAACTTCTGGCAGGTTTATAGCAGCCTTTTCACCTGAGATCTTGTAATGGTGCAGGCACACCGTTGTGAGGGGGAACCTACCCCAACTCCCGCTGGGAATTTACTCTCCACCCATAAATTAGGATGCTGGGTTCTTAGCTCTGCTTGGCAAGACACCTTTCCACATGGAGCATTTATTCTCGTCGACGCCGGGGGGCACTGTCAGGTTGTGTTTGAGCTCCCTGCCCTATCCTACAGATGCCGAGTTGAGTTTACGGGGAGGATTTAAGCCGATGTGGTGCTGTGTGGAAGCACAGTTTAGTTTTGTAGGCAGATGTATTTTAAGCTCTTCTGTGGGCAGCTGCATTTTAAGCTACCACCATGTTGAAAAGTCTACTAAGAAAAAAAGTGTGTGCTCCACAAACAACTGGGCGTGATGCAGGCAGACCAGGTGTAGGTGGGTTTGCCCAGTGCTCCTCCTGGAGCAAATCCTGGCAGGTGCTCTATCAGGTACCTTAGGCTATGAAGAAGAGCAATGCCAGAGTTAGAGAAGCCCAGAGCTTTTGTTGGGGAGAAATCTTAGCAATAACTGGATGCCTGGGGTGTTTTTTTAGCAACGCTTATGTAGAACTGCTGCCTTAATTGTTTATTCACCACTTTAACAGTAGTGCAAAAGCAGATAACAGGGTAAAATGGATAGTGGGGGCTGCAGTTCCCCTGACATACGGTGCTGTTTGTTATGAATCTGAGATGAATTCCCTTTTAAAATTTCCCCGGGGAATAAAACATAACACTCTCCTCAGCTTGTATCAGTTGGTAATGTTAGTAACAATTATAAAATAAGAGCTTAACAAAAAAATAAATTAATTCAGCTACAGGCTTTTATCCCCTAATATTTTGTTGTGAAATCTGCCTCAGGAACAAAACATGGAAGACTTTAAATTTACCAGAATGATATATGGGGGTGAGCAAGGCAAGAATTGCATTAAGCTGTTTTCATGGGATATGCAACTGTGCTCAGTACATGAGTTAATGGGCCTTCAGTCCCAAATTATGGGCTTCTATAGTACTTTCTGCAGTAGTATCTCAATCTTATTTAGGATATCTAAGCATGGGGATGGGGTTAGCAGAAATACAAAATATTTGAATTATAGTATGGTTCGGGTTGGAAGGGACTTGTGAGAGACCAACACTGAGTAAAGATCGTCGAGTTCCAACACCTCCCACTAGAGCAGGTTGCTCAAAGCCCCATCCTGCCTGGCCTTCAACACCTCCAGAGATGAGGCACCCACAATGTCCCCGGGCAACCTGTTCCAGTGCCTCACCACCCCCATAGTAAAGAATTTCTTCCTAATATCTAGACTAAATCTCCTCTTTTTCAGTTGTAAAACTATTTCCCCTCATCCTATCACTACACTCCCTGATAAAGAGTCCCTCCCCATCTCTCCTGTAGGCCCCCTTTAGGTACTGGAAGGTGGAAATATTATTTTTTTCAAACCTGTATTACCTCTCATCTCTTTCTACCCTGCATGAGTTCTCTGGGGCCTTAGCAGTTTAAAATTTTTGCAAATTTTACCCAAACAAATGAGAGATTTTCCTTCTATCTCCTGTAGATGAAGGACAGACAGAACCCTTATCCACATACAGAACTGTAGAAATAGTTCTATACTACCAGAACAGCTCCAAATAACCTACAGCATGGGAGGACTATGTAGATTTCCAGGGTAATGCCTTCACTGTAAAGGTTTGCTTGGTTTAAGTCACTCTGATCACCGCGAGCCTCACCTCATTGATTATGCATTGGCCCTAATAACTGGTACTGACTCAGACTCTGTACTCTTGTCTGTACATATGCTGTCCGGTATACATCTGTCTTTGCAGATGTTGGCAAACAGATTTTAATTGTTTTCTTTTGGACTGCTGTTCAAATAAGAATTTTGTTTCCTTCCTTATGGGGAAAAAAAAAGGAAAAAAAAAAGGAAAAAAAAGCTGATTTCTAATGGGTTGATCAAGTATTTTAAAGCTAGCTAGATGATGCAGATCTGCATATGGTCTGCCATATTAAGCAGTCTTTCCAATAGGACTGGGGTACTTCAGCTCTAAGAACAGAACTGTTTGTAATTTCAATGCTTCCTAACTGGGAACCTGGTCTCTTTGGACCAAGAGCAGAAAGAAGGGCTGTATTGAATTGTAATAACTGTCTTCCATGGCCTGTCCAACCCCATGAGATTTCATCTCCTCTTGGAAACTTCAAAGAGAAATTCCCGTTGATCTGCATCTGCGGTGCACAGCATGGACGCACTGTTACTAATTCTAGATATTTCGCATCGCAGCTTGTTAGTTTCCTCTGAGCTGTAATCTCACATATGCAAAGGTTTACACAGCTAGAAGTTATCGTTCTTTTGAATGTGGTCATCAAATGGAGGCAATTCATTAAAGATAGATTGGAAGTAATACTAAAGTCTATGGGTCTTCTGGAGTCACCAGCTGACAAAGGCTGTAGCAATAAGACAATAATCTGTTTACTTAAGGGTGTCAGCCCCTTCAGGACATAATCTGTCAATAGTACCCTTGACCTTTCCTTTAAGACCAATTGAAATAACCACCTTTTGAGAAGTAAATGAAAAACACAGAATCAGGAGCAAAAAGCATTTCTTGACCCGCTTTCCATCTCTGCACCTTCTAGATTTACAGAGGAGGCCAAGAAGGAACGACATCCCTTTGCATACCTGCCCTTTGGAGCGGGACCCCGTGGCTGCATTGGCATGAAAATGGGTTTGCTGGAGACAAAAATTACTCTGCTGAGGATTTTGCAGAAGTTTCAATTTAAGACCTGCCCAGAGACTGAGGTTTGTGCATTCAGAGGCTTAAAGGCCACACTTGTCAACTTCAGGGAGTTGACAGTGTCCCCTAGACAGGATGACTGACTTGCCCTTGTGACATTTGCTTTGTTTGAGAAAACTGCTAGAGCCACTTATATAATAAGGAGGGATTAGAGGCCCGGACTGCATGTTTTAATCAAAATGTGATTTAACCTTTATGATTTTTTTCCAACAAAACAAACAGTTACAAAACCCTGCCGTAGTGCAGAGTAATGTAGCAACACCACAGTCGAAATACTTTGATTTATACAGGGTGAGAATGGGTGTACATCTTTCATGGGATCTGAGCACTTTAGTATATGCCTATTGCTATGTACATTGCACCTGGCACTTATCCAGCAGCTCTAGATTTTACAGGGTTAATTTCTTTCTCTTCAGATCTACAGTATACCTGGGCAACCACTGCCTCAGCCTCTGGCTGTAAATTCTATTTAATATTATACCACCACTGCTGACTGTAAAACAAGTGCCTTACAGCTCCCACAGTAATCCTGGTATGAATTGTTCCCCCAGCAAAAATGTCTGTCTGTATGTGGTGGTGTTACACACGCATAAACAAATATATATAACTGTACATAAGATGCTATTTTTTTTCTTTCAGATTCCTTTACAGCTGAAATCAAAAGCCACACTTGGACCAAAAAATGGAGTCTACATTCTGCTAGAATCTCGCTAAAAGGAAACGTACATCCTGATGCCTCCTGGGATGGGACCCCTTGTTCAGTGACTCACTGGTTATAATCATTTTTCAAAACCCCGAAGACAGGTAGAAGCCTAAATCCCACTGATGGTCAGTAGGTGCTGCCTCACTGCCCTCCTGCAGGAGAGCCTCCAGTCACTTTTTTTAAACGAGACGTGAGCTTCACAGTCTTTTTGGTGGTTTTCAAATTGCTGCGAATAGTATCTGTAACGAAGCATCCCACTTTCACTTGCTTTTCCACATTACACTTCCTTTTATTCATCCTTGAGAAAGCTTTCTTCACGCTCAAGTTCAATACATGGAGCAGGCGTTAAGCATACACACAACTTAAAATAGATTTAATTACAATTCATTGTCTCACACATCTTTTTCATGCACTTACAAGATCCTACTCTACAAAAAGCCCAAGCACCACAGTTATAGCAGAAGGCCTGGGATCCAGTGCATCGGACTCTATCATGAACTCCGCTAAAAATCAAAGCACAATGCTTAATCTCTCCCTGTGTCTGAAAGTGGAAGGAGATGCACCTTCTTCATGCTTTTGAAGTGATTTGAAATACACTTAGATTAACGATTTGCACTCGACACATTGCATCAACGTGCCTGAAGAGTGAAGTTAAATGCTCACCAGTTAAATAGCTAAGACCAAAGAAATGAGGTGACAGCCATCTTTCCGGCTACTGAACTGCTGTTGGAAAGGTGGAGAAAAAGAATATACAAATTCAAAGAAAGCAGGAAGACTGGAGGAAATTTAAGGGTAATCAGGTGTTGGTACAACATCTGCTTCATGCTGAGGCTTTTCCTCTCCAAGAACTGCAGTGGCACCAACCTTATCTTGCTCATTGACTCAAGGAAATTAAGAGCACTGCACGTACTAAAGTCGATGGCAAGGGGGTGGAATCCATGATCATCAGTTACAGCAGCTCTCTTGATTCCTTACGTGACCCTGCAGCAGGTCACATCCCAAAGTGCCTCACCCCACTCAGGAAGGAACTTGCCTGATTGCCAGCTGCAGCAGTGCCTTGGAGCCATTCAAGCAGCATGACTGCGCACCTGCATTTTCCCAGCCAAAGCAGCAGGACGTTTCCTCTCTTCACATTCCCTCCGCGCTCTTTCCTGCTCCTCTACAAAGCCCTTCAGTCACCATACAGATAGTGGAGCATCACACAGCAGTGATCAATCGACCAGAAAAAAAAACCAACCCAAAAATATTTCTTTCAGTGGGCACCCCAAACTGTTTGACTGCACAACAAAACCATGAGAGAAGATGGTCTCAGTCTCAGGGTTCTTTCTTTCCTTTTTTTTTTTTTCTTCTTTTCTTAGGTTTTTATAAACAGCAAAAGTTCCTATAGCATCATACGAATAAGGAAGCACCTTTTGGTTCTTTGCAAGTGTCGACCTTCTGCCTGCTGACATGCTCTGCTTCAGAATTCCTCAGGTACAGCATCTCTTTGGGTGGTAGGCACAGAGAAGTGTCATGGCAGCAGGAGGAAGACACTGACTGCTCAGCTGCGCTGCAAAGATAGCTGGAGGGAGCCATCTGCTCACTGATCCCTAGATAGCTCCCCAGTTTCTCTCCAGCAAGCACCTTTTGCTGCCTTCTTCCCACATGCTGCCTTAACACTGATCAAATTACTGTATCTTGCTCCTGGAAGATTTTGTCTTTCAGGGGATTTTTTTTTTTTTTTTAAACTAGAATTGTACAGGTAGTGGTGGTGAAGAACCAACCTGGCAGTCTCAGAACTGTTTATATTTCCATGGAGCACCTCTGGCACGCTAAACAGAAGTGCCCTGTTACAGACATGCTAATATTGTTATTTATTTGAAAAGCAACAAACTGTATATACCCTAGTTTCTACACATTATCCATCATTTTTCCCTCTTGAAAATAGTGCAACGAACAGGTACAACTGGCAAAAAGTTACAGGACCTTGCCTAAAAACTTCTCACCTACCTTAATGAGCAGGAAGCTCTTCCCGGTCTGAAACCAGCTGTCAAAGGCTTGTTGGTCCCATCAAAATTTTTTTTAATCTTTTTCTTCCTTATGTGAATTAGCAGGTTGTTGTGTGCTTCATTTTTGACCAAACACTCCAAGACTAAATCAAGCTCATGCCTTTCTTCCATACGCTTTTGTATGGACTGTTCTAGAGCTTGTCTGAGTGCTACTTATATTCTCAATATTTATCCAAGAAAGTGCCCCTAATGTGTAGAGTAGCTGAACAACTCTTATTTCTGTGTCTGAAGAGCATTATCATCTTGAATACCGTGTTGACTCCATTGGAATAAAACAGTACTGCAGTGGCTGCAACTGGGCATCACCTTTTACAGGCTTGGAAACTGCACCGAGTATCCTTCCTGTTGCTTCTAAGTTGAATGCAGATGGTACATGCGCAAGTAAACTCACCTGAATCTGCACTAATTGTTTTTCAACTGTCCTGCTAAATTTTCTGGCTAGGAAGTATTATCTGTTTTCACCTGTCACATTTGCAGTGGTATGGAATAGAGGAATTATTTTAGCAGCTGTGGGCCAAGTCAGATTTCTGGAAGTGCATCATTCCTAGTCCTACATGCAGGCTGAGTGAGACACTCAAGAAGAGGGAGAAAAGGCTGCCAACTTTCCAGTAATATAGGAAGAGCCCCAAGCCATTTCTTCCTTTTAAACAACAGCTGCTGATACAGTCACGAGGCAGCGCACAGACATTTTACCAGGACACTTAATGAAGTTGGCCCTCCCCCTGTCTGCGTGGGCTTGGCTACATACCTAAAGAATGAGCCGCGGTGAGAGACCAGTGCTGCTCCAGCCTCCTAGAAAGAGAAAATTTGCAAGAAACAAGACATGAGATTGACAGCAACTCTCCGAAACAGAAACTGATGGTATGTTTGTTAATCACAGTGTGTGCATGGACCCATATAACAGTCCCAAACTGAGCCTGAGCAGCTGCTTTTAGGATTCATAAAAAACAAAAACCCTACCAAAAATAATAGTAAAAAAAGCATTATGTTTATAGTTGCAACATCAAAACATAACTTTATACCCTTAAGTTGTTATGGTGACTGAGCATTTGTGGTACAGCATGCTTCAGTCAACAGCAGTTGAGTCTAGGGAGGAACAAGGAAGCTGATTTAAAATAATGTCTGTCCTCAAAACAGTGTGTTGTCTTGCATTGCGGAGCTGTGGGTTTGTTTGAAATTGGGCATGTCTGTTTTACAAAAGGGACTTAGTCATTCTCTGACAGCTGATACAAAGCAAAGGCTGCTTGGAAAAGGAAAGCTTCTATTAAAAACATCTTCTGGGACTTTGCAATGATTACAGAAAGCTGTCAGTATAAAATGGTATTTTTAATGAGACTGCTTATATAGAAAACCTTTACAGTTTTGTACTTTAGAAATAGTGTGCCTAGAAAAAAAATGGAGCTGAGTGTTTGAAATGATTATGCTTCGTTGATTGCAAATTTGAACTATCTGTTCTTACCTGGCATTAAACTGCAGCATTGCCTCTCCGTGTGTGATACTTTCTGAAATGACCACCTTTTCATTTCCCTTTTGTTAAACGATGTTTCCATCTTGGACACAACTTCACCTAATATCAAACTTTTCTGTGCATTTACAGTAATAAACATGTTAAAAGAATTTAAAGCTGACTTATAAACTGTTTATTTCATTGCTTGGTTTGCACTGGCCCTGCTGACTTTCTTCTGAGTGTGAAAAGTCTGAGCAGCGGCCAAGATGTTTGCTCCCTGCACTTGTGGGTGCTATAGATACTTTCAAGGTGTTAGCAGAATTCCCTTAGTTTCTAGGATTTTTGCAGGTAGATATGAATTCATGGCAGTGCCTTAAACACAAAGTACAAGGGAGTTATTCCAGCCCATGGAGCCCATCCCCTGGCAAAACAGATGAGCACCAGAACCCTGGTCATGTAACAGCCATCCCTCCTGGATTTTGTGCTGGAAGTGCTCCAGGTAAAGCAGCATTTCTACAACTCCCACTCGCCCTTTGGCTCAAAGGCAGCTCTGAGCAATGGTTTCCAAGAAGTGCAAGTCTTCTCCAAGCCAAGCAGCACTGAGCACACCACCATAGCTGGTACGTGCCGTCCACCTACGTTCCCCTTTTCCACCAGCCATACTTTGCCAGGCTGCAGGTACCCAAACCGGGTAACGTACTGCCACTCCTTTGCTGCCACCATTTACAGACAGGATTTTTGACACCCACATCTTAGCAAACCTAGGCAGAATATCATGACAAACCTGATTATAGGGAAAAGTCATTAAATGGTGTGGTGGGTTGACCTTGGCTTGCTGCCGGACCCCTAACCACCCCTGAGGGGATGGGGGTCAGGGGTCCATAAACTACCATGCACCACACCAGTTACTTGGCTTCTGCTGGCTCGCCATCTGTCTTGCCAGGATGGACCTGTTATCAGAAAAGGAAACAACCTTCACAACTTACCTTTCTCTTCACATGGTGTAGGAGTGAGCAAGATTATTACACTGTTCCTGCTTAGCTTCTTGCCTCGAGCAGCTAACTCAGAAGAAGAGGTTCGATATCAATTTTTGTTTAAAGTTTAGATTTAATCCAAACAGCTCTTCGATCTGTTGATTTGCAAATGCAATGCAAAGAGCTGTAGAGGGAATCCACTACTGAACAGCAGCACCTTTAAGAAAGTTTCCAAGAACTCAGAAATGTGGTGAAACATGGTACTTTTAGTATTGAGAGAGAGAAAAGCATTACTAGGAATTTAGTGGTTTGAATACCCATTTACTACACACAAGAAAGTTATCACTGCAGTTTCAGAAGTGGAAAACATGGGAACTTTTCTATGTTAATGGAGAAATAACAGATGACAAAATATCACAACCAGCCATTTTTTTCCAAGTTGTTTAACTTGCACACACCCACCCACCCCCTTACACATCACTTCCAAGAATTAAGGTAAAGGTTTCAAAAATATTACTAGATATCAAAAAATGTTATTAAAAAGTACTTCATTTGCATTAAAAAGTGTTGGTTTTAATTTTCAGGCAAAAGATTAACATGACTTCAGCTCTTCCAGTTTTTAGCTGAAATGCTGATTATGTTCAGAAGAAGAAAAGCATACCACCAGCATTCTCATTTGCCATAAATGTGTAGACGAATGGTTTTTTGCTTTGACAGCTTCTGTATAGATATGAAAACTTTCATACATAATGTTTCCTTCTCAATGAATATAGTATTTGCTGACAAGCTCATTTGCTTGCATGAGATTTTTCATATATGTTCTATTACAAATCTTCCAAAAGAAAGAATACAGTCAACTTGCTTTTCCACATCCTGTGTTTTACTAGGTTTAAACACAAATAGGAGTATTTTCCTTTAGACAGCATGCTGCTAGTTTTACAGTTCATATAAAAAGGAGTTCTGCACAGCCTTACTCCAGCTAATTATGGCTAAACTCCTGCTTCACAGTGCTGAAGTAATAGAGATTTACCCAGTGTACATCTGTCAGTCATCATCCAGATGAATTAAAAAGAAGTGCTTCTACAATACAGGTAGAGATGAGCTTTTTTTGGTCCTATATAAAGTATATTATAAGGCTTTTTGCAGTACACTATAGCGAACATACTCATTTAAGAGCATTAAAGCTGTGATTAAGTATCTGTCTATGCATCAGCAACTTTAATCATAAGAAATACTTGACAGTTCAAGTTTTTTTATTATCTGCATACATGTATGCTGACAGCTCAACACTAATAACAGCTTTTGCTGGGAAAAATTAAATATTCAACTTATTCTTCAGATTTTTAAAGTTTCAGCTCTGTGGCTGAAGATCACTCCCCAGGTAAGCATGATTTTCCTGCAAGAAAATCCAAACACACCTTCATTACACAGGTAACCATTGTATCTCCTGCAACCAAAGGGGCAGTACACCTAATGAGAGACAGTCACCTACTGTCTTTCCCAACAGCTGTAAGAGAACCATAAGTTGCTCCACAGAAACAGGGTATTGCTAATCAAGCAATGCATTTCACTCTTAAGAACGATATTCTTAAATGACAGGGGGAGTTGCCTCCTCTTCTTCCCCCCAGCACCTGTCAGCACTCTCTGATTTGTAGGCACAGTGAAAGTAATGAAAAACTTGTGTTATCACAGACCTAAAATACATCATTTATTTGACAGAGTAAGTCAACTGAGTAGGACACGTCAAGCAACCCCTGCTATGCTTCAGGTCTTTGGTACTTGTTTTAAATGCGAAAATTAACAAGTGAAAGTAAGTCTCTGTTCCTTTTTAACAAGGAAGTTTAATTTTTGAGGCTTTTTTGGTGAAGATTAAGTATGGACTGAAAAACAGTGCTGCTAAGAATTTATGCAATGAGCTGAGCACAGAGAGAGTCTCATTTGCGAACACCTGGATGTATACTGCTACAGGAGACAGATTATTAAAAAAACAGGTTTTATCAAATTTCAAGTTAAAAAAGATAAACAGGTAGAAGACAGCCTCTGACCAACAAGAACTTGTAAATATCTATCTTGAAACAATTATAACTAAATATTGCTTAAACTTGGTAGTCATAACCAATCCTCATGTTACAACCATCAGCAAATTCAATGAATACATCATAAAAGTCTCTAGTAATGCAGAGAAACATGATACCTGCTAAAGAATAGGAGACAAACGCAGAGTTTTAAGAATTCTAAGACATCCTTTGTGTCTTTTTACCCCTTGTTTTCTATTGCACAGGAATGATTGAGAATAAATGTTTCTGAACACTCAACCCACCCAATTACATAACTTCTAAAAATAACTTTTTCTCCCTTAAGCCAATACTAAAAAAAAAATGTTTATACCAGCTGAACATAACGGTGACAGGTTTTGGTGCTATAGCATTTTTGCTAATGCCTGGTCAGTGTATTCTATGAGATACTCTGGGTAAATCTGCTGCTTGTCAAAGACAACAAAGATAGAAGGGTTTAAAGAGCAATTCACACAACTGTCATAGAAGTTTTGACTGTCCTTCAGGGGAGGCCGAACATAAGAAGAACAACCAAGAGTGAACTCCCCCACCAGCACCCGTGCCAGAAACATGGTCTTGGTGTGTAAGTCTTCCCTGCAGTAGTTGTCAGAATAAGAAGCATCTCTTGCAAAATAGCTTCCTGCAGAAGAGACACCAAGACAGAGTTGATAAGACACCAAAATTGCATGGAAGGAAATGATACAGTATGAAAGCGAATTCATAAAATCTAGTTCATGAATGGCCTTCCAAAGCCTTCACTTGTCCTGTATGTCCTTCTTAGTGAACATGACCACACTTTTATTTTTTCACAGCACACATATTTAAAAGCCACACCAGCAATGTTTTAAATGTTATCACATTCCTCAAAAAGATTTCTTTCTGACCCTAGATGTCCACCTTCCCAATCTCACCCCACTTCCTCTCCTGACAAAGGATACTAATATCGATTAGAACATTTCTGAGAGTTACAAAGTATTCAATTGGATGGGTGCTAGTTAGTCAGTCAGCCTGTCTCTTGGCTAATTCCACTTGGTACGTTGATCCTTTCCTGTATGCAGGACTATGTAAAGGAATATAATTTGCTAACAAGGCAAACAGCCTGTAACCAGGATTTACATTCCTGGGGAAAAAAAAAAAAAAAAAAAAAAAAACCACCACCAAAACCCAAACCAAATAATGCCACGTTGCCTTCCTGTAGGAGCTTGGAGAAATTGGAACATAATTAAGGCTGGACTTTAGGAGAAATCGTCCCTAGAATTGGCCTCTCCTAAGCTTGTCTTTTCTTGCAAGGACAAGAGTGGAGCAGAGAGGTCACAGCCTTTCAGCATGCCTTAGCTCCTAATGATCCTTGCCAAAGCCACTTATGTTGTCCACATCACCACAGAGATAAGCCCTAGACTGGCTGAATACCCACTTTCTAACTTTACACCTCTGCAGTAACTACAGAGAATTTTTTTAGCAAGTCTAACGTTAATAACAGAGCTGAAAAACAACCTTTGCCGTAGACTGTCCCATGAAGGCCACAGATCCTCCAGTCAAAGTTTTGCTGGCAGATGGCATCAATGTGTTTTTTACTGGTCCCATGAAATAAAAATCGCTCATCCACAGCCTTTCCACCATTGCTCTTCTGCATTTGTTCCTTCTGCCTGCAATAAGAAGCAGTATCTTTGAATTCCACGGTCGCTATACCCAGAAAGGCATCCTAGCACTCAGAGACCACTTTTCACAATGGGTACATTCTGAAAATCCTCAAGGCCTAAACTTTGGGCATACAGGGTATAGTACTATCTAGCTGCGTACAAACACAATTTCATTATACACAAATGCCTCCAGATAAGATATTTAATAATAATAATGTTCTATTCCATTCACTGCCTATTGGGAGAGGGGAAGGAATCTTAGCATTATTTTTTCTCTAAAGACAGGAGTTCATGTTAAGGCTTTCCCTCAGTAAGTTTTGTATTTAATTTTGAAGGCTGTTTCAGTTTTGACCAGCTACAAACCAGTGTTTGTGCCAGATGTGACTGATCACCAGCTTCAAGGCTTCAGTGGAAGGCAGCTCTCCTGGACACAGGCCTGACAAAAGCCAGAACCACCTACTCAGGAGCAAGGATTCCTCCCACAGAGCTCATCTGACTATTCCAAGCTCTATTTTTCAACTGAGTTTTGGTTTTGTCAGTATCTCTTTATCTCCATGTTGATCCTGGCTAGGTATTTCAGTGGGGGAGTGGAAGTAGACTCTTAAATGCAGCTGGATTTCAGGAAAGCATGTGTCTATCCTTAATATACAGCTAACTGCAAAACCAACAAACTTCATGCACACATACCAGAGCAGTGTTTTACACATACCATTGATACAGTTCCCAGAGAGATGGGTTCTGAACTCTACAAATCCTTTTAATAGCTGTTTTGGGCATTGTGCGTTGAAAGTCCACCTTGACTTTCTTGTATTCTTCAGAAGAACTGTCAAGCTCAATCAGCTGTAAGGAAAAGATTAAAAAGCTACTCTCATCTTTTACTAAGTCATAGCAAAGCCACCCTAATTAGTGCACTACTCAGACCTTGAAAGTCTTTTCTGTGAAGCAGATACGAGCAGCAAAAATACTCCTGGAAAAAAAGGCAGATTAGAAATCCCTGCCCTGTAAAAGTGAGCTCTTACATAGGGAACATTAACTACTTGTGTTTAAGACACACAGGTTGCTCTCTCACAGGACGTTAAAGGAGCTGCATGCTTTTGTGCAGCCACCCAGCACCTTTCAATATTTAGGCCAAGATACATTTGCATGCATATATCAAACAGTACCCCAATATATAGAAGAAATGAGCACATAAGTAGAAAAGAATGGAGAATTCATGTTGCAGCAAATCAAAGAGTACCGCTACACCCATGCTTTTTAAATCTTTATCATTTATACTCCCTACAGATGGTCAACACAAACTGCACTGCCTGTTATGTTTTTAAATAAATTGAAAAGGCTTTATTTGACCAACCATTTTAGGGAAGAGCAGGGACACACTGCGAAAAATCAGTTCATTACATGACAGTCCAGAAAGCAAGCAAAGTTTTCTACTTGCATGTTTTCCCTAGGAACATCAAGAATGTCAACATTAGCCTTTCCTACTTTTTATTGTCAATTTCTTGAGGATTTGCATTTTGCAAGTTAGTAATTTTGATGCTTCATACACAAAGATCTTTTCTGTAGGCATAGTTACTAGAGTTGACAGAGGTGGTGCGGGAGGCAGGCAGGAAGGCAGCAAAGGTAAACCATGCAGATATTAACTGGGTGTGTTACAAAGGTAAACAAGCTCACTCCACTGGAATTATGGCACATTTTAATAAATGATCCCATCCTGAACTCTGCTGATTTCAGCAATACTCCATAGATGTACAACAGTCTACTTTTATACCAGCTCAGGGAACGGCTACCCTGAAGTTGAGAGGCATGAATTATCTCTGATGCTTCAGCACATGTTGGACTCCAAAGCTATGTATTTTGAGCACCAGTAACAGTCTTGCTAATACAGCATAAGGTTCCAGCAAATTTGCCAAGAATGGGGTAAACACTAGCAGTGAAGGTCAATGTTGCCATAGTTATACTGCTGCCATTTGTTAGCTTAAATCTGGGTCTAGTTTCACCTCTAGGTCTTCCCAGTGTGAAATCAGGCTCAAATTTACCAACACCTCTGCGTTATGTAAGAAACAATCACCTACAAAGGCACAGGAAAAACTGAACTTGTTGCAAACAAACCTGTATGCAATAAAACTGATGGAGATCAAAAATAAAAAGCTCCAAACCTTGAATCCCAGTTCAGGCAGGGCAGATCTGTCCCAGTGAGCTGGAATGCCCTTAAACTCTTCTGTATGTTTAAAGCCCCTGCGCATTTTAAGACATTACAAATAGGTAATTAAAACAAAAATACATTTTATATACATATGATACTAAACATTTTGCCAAGTTTAGGGAGAATATAGACAACTGAATATATTCAGAGTATTTCAAAATTGTCTTTTCAGTTGGGTACACGAAAATATTTGTTCCAAATCATCATGTCAAGATTTACGGCAGGAAGCAATATGCCAAATGAGAAATAAAATAATTAGATATGCACTGAACTAAACATGAAAGTAATTCTCATAGTTGCAAAGAGTTCAATGTGTGCATAAAAGCTCTGCTACACTGGGCAGATAAATAAAATGCACCCAGTACCATATCAGTATGACAGAAACAGGATAGATACAGTCCTCCCCTCTACTTCCACCCCACTTTTAATTAATGTGTTTAGCTGCTCTATTCTGCGTTGCTTAAGCAAGCACTGTGTGTTCCAAGGGAATGCATAAAAAAAAGTTGGCTGATACACACAATTATATAAAACTTCTTCCCTTGCACACTCCCACTTTTTGCTCCACCTGTAACAAGTACTACTTTCCCCTCACATTGTCTGACTGTTCTCAAAAAAATTGTTTCTAAACTTACAACTTAGCTTTGAAAATTAGTGATCCCAGATTTCAGAACGGAGCAGTACCCATAAAGGTATTACTTGCATCTGTATCAGCCTCTCTAATAAGATCAACTAAGTTGCTAATCAGCAACTCCCTACAGCATTGCTACAAGTTGAATTATTCTCTATGCTTCCACACTTCCTGTGGCCAAACCCAAACTTCCTTCATCCCCGAGGCCCTTGAGTTGTTTGAAAACTGTTGGCCAGGCTGCAATACTGCCCCAGCTAGATATTGTTGTAGGAAAGGTATGGTCCTTTCCCTCCCAATTTCTTTTACAATTGCCTTAACAACTACTCCTTCACCTTATTAACATCCTTGGAAGACACTGCATTCACAATGCACTAAATTCATCATCTCATAATGAGCAGTTGCAGTTTACCTTTTTCTTGTCTTTTCTACCTCTGCCTGAGAGACAAATTTAGGTCTTCTACAAATCTCTCTCTCTGTTGTGTAGCGAAGGTTTTTCTGAATCATGGCTGAGGAAAAAAAAAAGATAAAACATAAACAATCAGAAAGATGTTTCACAAGGCCTTCACGCTGTGGCAAAACTTGCCACTAAGGTGTTTTGTCAAAAATGTTGCAAAAAAGGCACCGAGCTTTTTTTCTTGCTGCGCAAACGGAAGTTGGAGCAGGATGTGGAACCCGCAGTCTGTCTGTGTAAATCACCAAGACAGATTTTAGTTTCGGTTTTGCTCGTAACTTCAGAAGAATTATGACACTGGTAGCCATTTCCTATTCATTGCTCCATCAACTGCACTTAACCAAAAAGGATCATTGTAAAATAAGTATCTACTTTTGCTCCATGGACTGCATCCCCTTTTTCTCAATTTGCAATCAAGGCACCATCTTCCTACATTTATTTGCAGATTTCAAACCCTGTAAATGCAACCTTACAGCTACCACAGGGCATCCATTTTTATCGGCCACCAACAGAAACAAGTCACAGCAAACTGAATTTTAGAGGCATTCTATCTGGATCTAAGAAACTGTAGCTACTGCCACATCGTACTGGCAACTAAAAGTCAATAGCAGCCAGCAGAGCGAGGCCTCATCTTCAAAGAGAGATACACAGGAAGAAAACAAAGAAAGAAAAAAAACCAAACAAACTCTAGGCACCACCAAGCCTAGAAACTAAGTTTTGGAAGATATCTACATTGCACATTTGCCTGCATTACTAAAAAAAGTCCAAACCTTAGAAAAGGGATTGATTTACTGTGCAACTTCCTCTTCTAAGCCAGACAAGTTTCACCAGCATTGCTTTCAATTAAATCACAAACAATGTCTCACGTGAGAGGGTAACAGAGAGTTGGATCAAAGGCAACTATACCAAAACGACAGTCTAGGCAGGTTAATTCCCACCACCACTGTTCCCATGATTTTTGAAGAGGACACCTGGAAAGGCAACAGCTCAGAGAGTACACTGCCATAACAAGTGGCTTAAATTTCCTCAACTCTTGGAACATCTTCCTACTTTGACACAGGCAAGGTATTTCCTCAGCCTTTGCAGACAGGCAGAGCTACGAAAAGAAAATAGCTACATAAATATTGCAATGCTAAGGATTGTCTGGACCCTACACCTTGCCCAAGTATTCATTTTTCTGCAAGTCAGTGATCAATGCAGACTGGAAGCTGCCTTACCAAGTCTTCCAGAAGTTTCTCACCATTTGTGTCAGTATCAATGGCAATGTCACACTTCAAAATGTCTATCAGCAAGTCAAAACCTAGTGCAAGAACTTCTCTAAAAAAGAAGATCTGTAGAAAAAGAAGTGCCACTTTGCTTATGTGAACAGCTCTTATCCTGAGAACTTCGATAGAAGCTGTCTCTGTAAGCACTGCAGTTCAAAGTTCAAAGTTCAAATTTCTCTCTCCTATCTCCTGTACTAATGTAGTTTAAAATCTCAAATTACCTAAGAGGAAGGAAGGGAGGGAGGAATGAAAAGAGAGAAAGGAAGAGAAAGGAAGAGAAACAGAACTTAAAAAAACAAAGCAAACAGAACATACCTCCAAAATCAAGTTCATATTCATGACATCCAGCTTTGAAGTTCAGCTTTGGCGAACTTTCGGCTAGATATGCCTTCTCCAGGTCTTCACTGGAGACAGTGGCAGCCACATGACGATCATCCTGTCAGGCCAAAACCAGAGAAAAATAATAAAAAAATTAAAAAAAAAGATTCTCCTGGTCTGGTATTTACAAGCGAGTTTAAAAACCAAGAACTATCATATGGTACAGTGGCTGCAGTATGGATCAGCCTTTGTGCATGACAGTGGCTATCAGGCAAAAGCTATGTATTAAGCGGTTGAAATTGCCTCTAAAAAAACCCAAGCGGTGCTAGGAAACCTAAACTTACATTGTGAAGTGCACGCGGTGAACACTACTACTGAGGCTGCACGTTCACCAACCAGACTTTAGCAAAGACGCACAAAATCCCACTGGAACCTCAGAAAAGAAAGTTTTAGTCATGAGCAGCTAATGTAGTCCTATCTGACAGGACTAACTGAAGAATTATCTGTCTGTAATTTTTGTGACTCACCAGAGAGCACTTCCCTACATGAACCATTAAATTCTCAAGGAAAAGATCCCATTAGGCCTCTAAAGTCCAACTGTACAGTGTGAGTGAGAGGTAGGAATGGGACAGGGTGGAGGGTGACAAAAGAGGGGAGCATACAAACATTGTGCATTTTTCAGTTGTTCCGCACTTTTAAAAGACTTGAGTGTCTCCTCATTTCTCCACACTTACTTTTTGTCCATACTCCTGCCACAGACCGTATTCATCTTTCCAGTACCAGAGCCATTCTGTTGTAAGAATGAAGTGAGGGGGTTTGGTCACAGAGGAGGCTGTAGAAAGACGTCTGACCTTTGCAAACCCACAGCACATATTCACAAAACAGATACGTGACAAGACAGAGCCACTTTCAGTGACAGCATTATTAAATCTGTAAAAAAAGGGAGAAAAAATAATAATTGGAACTGTTTGTGAAGCTTTACCCATAGGTTCAGAAGCTCACCACAAATCTGCAAATTAAGTCAACATCATTCAAAAGCAGAACACAAACCTGCAATTTCAACAACAATCCCAGTTCTGTCCTGTGTTTGTACATATTTTGGATTACAGTATCATCTCTCACATCTGTTCCGTGCATAGTAACCACTATCAACTCAGAAATTAAGAGAGTTACATAAGATGAACAGAAACAGCGGAAAGCATAGACTGCCTTCTTGCTAGCCATCTAGATTCTAGGCAGAACACTCTCATAACTTGAGCACAGCTTCAAACAGCCTTTAACATAACATATAGGAGGGCTAGGTAACTCCTCCACCACGGGACACAGCATACTGGCATGAGCCCCTTCCAATACCCTCTTCATGCTATATAACCAGTTCCAAATTCTTAAAGGTATTTCCGATTCTTAATGGTTCTCTGCACCCAAGAGTGTCTCTCTCTACAGGTACACAGGGTATTCTACCAGTTCCACAATATAGGGGGTGGGGAAGGCAGCAAGAGGGACAAGTCTCATGCTGCCTTTCCATCCTCCATCTCAAAAGGTGAAAGAGAAGGTTACTTTTAATCATGGGTCAAGCTGCATATTGACAAGCTCTAACCAAAGCCAGATTCCCACAAGTATTTGTGATAAAAATCACCATTCTCTGCAGTTTTCCAGCCATTCTTACTGAGGATTAACACTTCCTATGGTAGCATCAGTAGGAAGTATTTATACATTTTTTCACAACCAAGAATACTAGAGTCTATGGGTCAGTCACATAAAATAAGTGTGGTGGATTGACCCCGGCCAGCAACCAAGCGTCCACACAGCTGCTCACCCATTTGCCTTCTCCTCCTCCACATGACAGAGGACAGAAAATAAGAAGGGCAAAAGCCAGAAAAGTTGTGGGTCAATATAAAGGCAGTTCAATAGGTGAAGAAGAGGGAGTGTAAATAAACAAACAAATAAATAAAGCAAAATAAATTGCTCAACAGCAGCCACCTGGGAAATCAAAACCCCAACCTTCTTCTTCCTCTGCTCCAGGTTTCATTGCTGAGCATGGCATTATATGGTATGGGAGATCCCTTTGGTCAGTTCAGGTCAGCTGTCCAGGCTGATCCAACCCCTTGCCCACCCTTAGCCTGCCCACTACAGAGAAGCCAGACAGAGTGGGGAAAAAGAGAAAGCCTTGACTCTTGGCAAACCTGCTCAGCAACGTCTAAAACATCAGTGCATTATCACCACTGTTTTAGTCACAAATCCAGAACATAGCACTATACGGGCTGCTATGAAGAAAGTTAACCCCATTCCAGCCAAACGCAGAGGGTCATATACACATTCCAGGCATAAGTAAGTCACAAGGGATCAGATCTCCAGCAAGAGGAGACAAGCAAAGTGAGGTCAGTACAAGAATATCAAATGAAGCTACTTATGTAACAACTGCAATTGAATTGTAACAATTTATAACCACCAAAAGCCTGGTCCAATACAGTAAAGTCCAAACATTATTCAATTTTGAAAGAGTTTATACCTGGTGTTACTGGGGTCACAATATGCTTTTTCTATTTCTTCCATATTCTTCAAGTCCTTCCAGGTATTACCATCAGACACCTGCCATCTATATGGCAAGTGAAAATGAATCCTGATACACTTGTCTATAAAAGTTTAAAAATGAAAATTAAAAAAAAAAAAAGAGATGCATTATTTTCACAGGCTATGAGAAACACTCCAACATCTCAGGGCTGCACATCTAGCTGGTAAAAGTATCAAATGCATAGCTATGGAGAGCATTCACCTATGGAATCATTACAAGCAATATTACAGAATTTTTCAGCATGAGCAAGCAAAAGAGTTTTTGAGTTTAGGCAGTAGTTTAGTTTCTGTACCTACTAGATGCACTTTGTGCATCAAAATCGCTATCAGGAGCTCAGTGGTGAAGAACTGTTTTGTCTTCGCAGTTTCAGACACAAATATTTACAAATAATCAAGACCACATGCTCACACAAGGCTATTATTTCATATATAGAATAACAGTGTAGACACAAATATCTATGCTTAACCACTTAGGCACAAAGTGGTATAATTGAGGGAAACAAACAAACAAAACAAATGAAAAAACCCCACCAGTGCTTAGTTTTAGGATAGGAGGTAGCTTGTTCAGAGACTTCAAGAAGTCTCTAAGGATCCAGGCCTCACCAGGAGAAAGAGTAGTGGTAGCTGTGGCCCAGGTACCACTAAGAAATCATTCAAAGAGTCAGCATGCAGTGATTTCTCAATAGAGTGAAGATGCCATCACCAGTACACATAAACATGAGGCTAGCTTTCATAGCAGAACAACAGGCAGCTTAACTACAGTGAAAGTCAAGGAGACTGCACTACACAGTGTGTATGTGTACTGTGTAGTGAAGTGTGAGAAGGTGTGCACCGCATCAGGGAGCCACTCAGGTCAAGAACATGGAGAAGGATAACAAAAAGACAAGAACAAAGCTGGCACAGCAGCCTTTTTCCTGCACAAGGTGGAACATTTTGAAAGGGAGACAGCTCAGGCAGATGGAACAGAAGAGCGGTAGAAGAAACAAGGAAGAATGCAGAATTCAGAGTATCTTTTGTAGCTGTTTGGAAATAGGTCTCCTATCATTCAGCAGTCCCTTAGGTGAACACAGGTGGAGTAGCCAATCTCCAACACAGGCTGACATTATACATTTCAGAGTTAAAACAACTCCTTTGTTTAGTATACCAGATAGGTCAAACACTTTCCTACCAGCACTCAAAATTACAATGAGATTTAATTAAAGATAAACATAAGATCTGAAGTTTCCCCTTTCTGTGAAAGGCATCTATCACTTCCTTCTTATAAGAAAAAGAAAACAGACTGGACTTGCTACAGTCACAACCTACCTTTGAAGCCACAACTTCGGTACAGATGATATAAACAGATCTGTTCCGATTCATCACCATCTGTAGTTGAGGACTCTTGGCTAGAACTGTGTTTTCTCTCTAGAGGAGGGAATTATAAGCCTTATTAACACTCTTTGCTTGAACAAGCTCTCTTAAAAGCACACCTATGAGTAGAGAAGATGCCAAAACCCGCTGTTTATAACTAAGTAACTGCATTCAGCTCCAGAAAGGCACTGAAGTCTTTGATAACCTTGTATACTCAAAAGTCCTATCCCTTTATCCATCCTTTCTGAACTTGATTTTCCTGTAACTGCTAAATTCCTCAGATGCAGCTTTTAGCTAACACCACAAAATAATAGAATCCAATGCCTTTACATTTCTAGATGCACTTGTGTTAACCATGGATTCCACGTAGCTGTTCGCATTGGCAGATATAAAATCTTAAGTCTCAAAATTTGATACTTCTGTAAACCAAGGAAACAAAGAAGGGAAGAAGGAACTGGAGGGAGGACTGCAGAGATGAACATACACATACACACTTGGATTTTCCATTATGTTATCCTTTTCTTCCCTGCTAAACCATACTTAACTTACAATTCTAAGGAACTTCAAAAGAAAAGAACAAACAAAATACTACATCTCTGAGAAGTAACTAGGGTTCTCCTGCCTGTGAATTCTTGTGCTAGACAATCACTACATTAAAGAAAAAAAAATAATTGTGTGATTATAAACTACTTTAAGTGCCACGCCTTTTCGTAAACAGTTCTTAACACTTGTTAGTATTTTTTACCAAGAAAAAAATTATAGTGCTCCATATTTCCAGTTCCTGTTATGCTTTTATAACCTCAAATTTAGGACATTTATAAATACCAAGTACTTTACTTCTCAGGAACCATTAATGCCTCGAAATCTACTTCAGTTGTCAAGACACAAATCTCTGACAATGAGATGGGTACAAAGTCCCTCCTAAAAAACATAACAAGATGTGAATTCAGTTTTCTATTTCTTAATGACATCTGTGAGAATGCTACATTCACCATACTAACTCTTCTTCTGATGTTTCCAAAAGATGGTATAATTTACCTTTGCATGGTGAAGACTTGGCATCTTCTATGTCACACATGTTCCTGTCGCCATTTTTTATGTCATACATGTTCCTATAAATGGAGGGCAGTTTCTCAATAATGTTTGAGCTGAGTCCCTGTCTCTCCAGTTTCTCATAACATTCTGACTTAAATAAGTCATGGGATCGCTTGCAGCTTCTGCCAAATCTGCACTGTCCCTGCAAATAGTACTGGCAAACATGCAGTTTGGTGCAGATCTTTTTATAAGTACAAGATCCATAAGGTCCATCACCTTTGTTATAATACAAGCAGACCTTGGGTAGAGGAAAAAAAAAAAAAAAAAAGATTAAGGTACAATGGGCTCATAGAGACTGTTCGAAATCACCATTTTTTTTACAGCTACATGTTTGTGTTTGCATTTAAAAGACTTATACATGTCTCTTCTTTCCTCTTGTTTTCCAAACTTGATAGTTTTTGCTTTTCCCTGCTAATGCCTTCAGATATCTTTCAGCAGACAACAACCACCTTACAGACATCAAGCAGATGGGAGTTTGTTCTAAGTCACATAAATGTAGGATAGCGGATTTTACTGTGTCACTACCTGAACTCTTTGGCTTTCCAGTTTTAGAATAGTGAACTTTTTTGACCTGAATTTGATGGTAGGAGGTACTGGATCTGGCTAGGATAGAGTTAACTTTCTTCATAGCAGACCATACCACTCTATGTTTTGGATTTGTGACCAAAACTGTTGATAACACACCAATGTTTCAGCTACTGCTGAGCAGTGCTTGCAGGTTGTCAAGGATTTCTCTTTTTCACACTCTACCCCCCACCCCAGCCCTGGGTTGGCTGGAAGTAGACAAGAAACAGAGAGGACACAGCTGGGACAGCTAGCCCAAACTGTCCAAAGGGATAATCCATGCCATATAATGTCATCCTCAGAAATAAAAAAAAGTCAGGGAGTAGAGAAGGTGTGTCCTTCCTACAAGTTGGCCCTTGCTCAGAGACTTCCTGGGCATCAGTGTGCTTGTGGGAGGTGGTGACTAACTTCCTTTACAACACTTGTTTTCTCCCTTCTTTCTTCCACTTGCTAAACTGTCTTTATCTCCGTTCACAAGTTTTCTCACTTCTGTGCTTCTTGTTTTCTCTCACCTGTCCTGCTGCAGGCAGGGAAGAGGGGAGTGTGTGAGGGGCTGTGTGAGTGCTTAGCTGCCAGCGAAAACAGAAGCTGCAGATTTAAAGTTTCAGATTTGCGTTACGCTAACTAAACTGACACCCAGCATCTCCATCTAGTACCAAGCCTCTTGCTTTTTGTGATGCTCACTGAAACACAAGGCAAAGAAACTGTCACAGTACTACTCACCTCTGGTAAGAGGGAAGGGTCATTTTGAAGCAAAAGCTGGCGAAGTTCATCACTGTTAAAATACTCAAGTCCATATTGCTTTAGAACATAGAGATTGTGGTCCGAGTGGAAGTTGTGAACAAACTTGCATACCTTCCTACAAGTTAAGAAACCCAAGCACAAAACAAGTGTAACAGACTAGTACTATTTTGCTACCCCACCGGTATTACACTAAGCAGTTTAAAAAGCACACCAAATTAGCTAGTTTCAGAAGATTCTGTAGCGTTCCTTTATGAAGTAATTATGTGATGTGCTAAACAGATTACATAATTACTCTGCAGATAATTGCCATGCTATTTCTGATTTACAGTCATTATAGCACTAAGCGTAGTCTGCCAACATGGGCAGTTTTTTGACCCGCAGCTCACAACCACGCATGAGAAAACACCGAAACCGCCGGGGCACCGCACCCTCCCACTCGAATCGATAACCACATTCCCCAACTTCACAGGGCAGAAAGCGACCAGATTC